TAGTGGACTTAATTATTTAATTGAAATAATTTATCAATTCAAATCAATATAAACCGAAATTTTATACAATTAAAAGCAGCCATGGCTAAAGAGCTTGTTTCTCTCCAATTTATCAGACTACCACTTCATAATTCTCACCATTTCCTAACACTTTCTCCTACTTCAACTCCCAGTCACCGACCTAACAAAACCCAATCTTTTTCCGACGATCAACCGTCCATACTCAATCTCCGATCAGCTTTATACATCTCCCATGGCTGCGATAATCCAACATTCACAAATCAACCACATAAATATATTCATAGATCGATGATCAAAAACAATATAATATCTACGAATCTACATATATAAATTACTTTGAAGCAATTTCAATTCCATTCAGTATTGCGGTTCGGTTCAACACCCCATTAGCTAGCAATTCCTTTCTCTCCCTTGTTACATCAGACGTCTCCTCCGGTAGATTAGTTCTCAGTTCTTTTCGAATTCGCCGCCGCCGTCATCGGAGTTTTCTCATCCAAATTAATCGTGCTTGTAGATCGCCCACCTCCAATCGCCGAAGCTCGAGTCGAGATCCAACTACTTTCGCTTACAAAAGCAACATCTACCGCAATCGAAGGGTTCAAAAGATGGCTTGTGTCTTGAGACACCAAACAGATCATAGTAGCGGTCGATAACAACCGTGGTTCATCAGCCGCCATAAACGACGAGGAGATCTCGAGATGGAGAAGATCTGATAAGCCAAATATATTATTTAGGGTATGAACGAGTAAGGGTATTTCAGGAATAGTATTTAATTGTAGTGGCATTTTTGCAAAACATTTAAAAAGATGGCATTCTTGTAAAGTGGCATGGAACATGTGACATTTTTTATTTTTTTTTGTTTTGTGCAACTTTTTTAGTTTAATTCAAATAATCAACATAAAAACACGCATTTTACTATTTAACAATCGTCCTAATCTAATCTAGTCTATTATGTTATGTATCATTTGCCTTTTGATAATCTCTATATAATATTAAAACAGAAGTACGTTTAGGAAAATGTCCAAAATATCTTTTAATATTACTTAAATTGCCATTGCCTTATAACTAAATAAATTCAATTGAAGAGGATAATTTTGGACAGATGCAATGGCAATTACAGTAATATGGAGCTCAATTTCGGATAATTTCTTAACATGATCCGATTGAAAACGCGCGGATCTTTTTGATCCGGTTCGCTACCCAGCTGATTCATTAATGGCATTTTCGTTATTTTACGAAAGTGTTTTCAAATCTGGAAGACTGGAAGAATACACACGGAATCGAAGAACGTCTTTGTATTAATTGTTTTTTACTGTAAAAGTCAAACGCATTTAAGCACAGTTACCTTATATATGTTATAAAACTTATTGCACTATCAAATTTCTTTCTATAACAAAGTTACGCAATATATATATTATTAAAATTGTGATGGATTAGTCATACGATCAACTATAGAAVTTTAACATAAATACCAATTAAAAATGGCAATCTAAAAAAAAAATGGCAATCTAAATTTTTTATTAACTTTCAAATCCCACAAAAATAATTTTCGAATCTTTGGATTCTATAACAGTATCTTATATTTCAGTTTTTAAATTTAAATTTGGTATATTCTTAA